TTGCTCATTTGAAAATCATGAAAATGTTCCTTAAAAAGACATCGTAACATGATGTCTTAACACTTTGTTTATCAGTGGAGGCCAAAAAATAACATTGGATGTAGCATTAATACTTTATGAGCCTAATGATTAATATCATTCCCACTGTTGAAACCAACATCATCGCTTTTGATTTAAATTGTTGATTCATATTAACCCTATTCAGATAAACACACTCACATTAGTATTCTACCATTATTCAAAAATCAAAGCTTGGGATGCCTAAAGCATAGTGGTTAGTGCACACGCCCATGTGCAGAGGGACAGAGTCCTCCAAGCGGGTGGCCTGGGTTTGAATCTGACCCGTGACGCCTTCCCCTCATGTCATTCTTCAATCTATCGCTCTCTGATTTCTTTTTTTAAGGGTTTATTTTTTGGCCTTTATGCCTTTATTTAGAGATAGGACAGTGGATAGAGTCAGAAAACCGTCCACCGTCCTGTGTCTGTATGAAGGCGTTCAAAGCTGACTGTAGTCCATAAAGGACAGTCTAATAATGCACATTGTGTTTGTGTCTGCAGGGCAGTGGAACCCAAAAGACTGGACGGCCTTCCAGGTGTTTAGGATCAGCCTCATGACATCAGAGCTGATCTCCATGGAGACAGAGACACAGATGAAGGGTCTAAAGGTCATATTTGACCTGCAGGGATGGAGTTTAGGACATGCCTTACAGGTTAACCCTTCCATTGCCAGAAAGATATCCTCTGTTCTGTCGGTAGGTTAAGCACTGTGCTCCTGGTTATAATGTTGGATAATTAACTCTGTATATCGTTCCACACTTTATGTGTGTGTGTATCTGTGTGTGTGTGTGTGTGTGTTCAGGACTCTTTCCCCCTGAAGGTTAGAGGGATCCATCTGGTCAACGAGCCTATGTTCTTCCGGCCTGTCTTTGCCATGATTCGTCCCTTCCTTCCAGATAAAATCAAACAAAGGGTCAGCAGCCTCCTCATTCCACACACTCACACTCACACACATAATCACAGATAGAACTGTCTTTGTCTTTTAACTTTGTATTCAACTACTCTATCAAAACTATTGGATCAGTATGTTTGTGTTTTTAGTGAAAATATTTCATAAAAACTTGTCAGATTTATGTAGTATGTAGTAATTCATCGATAACTAGGGTTTTTTGGCTGACTTTTAGGGTGCACTCCCACTAAGCAATCTGTACCGGCTCAAGCACGTTCAGTCAGTAAAGTTGCGTTCATGTTCTCTGTGTTCTCCATTCTAAGAAGGTGAAGTAAAAAAACAACGATGCTATAATGAGAATATTTGCCTTTATATCAATACTATGTGTAGTCAAACAGAGTCACAATCTGAACTAAAGAGTGGAGAAGAACAAACTGGAGAACAGGAAACATGCAGCAGCAGGTTCATTAGAGCACGGAGATCAGAGTGGTCGCGGGAAGACACTTTATGCACCGTGCAGCAGTCACAGGATACAAACATCACTCCTCTCCTCCTATTGGCTCGAGGTGAATTCTCTGGAGAATATCCTGCTGTGTTCTAACATCTGCTCACACAGACTTGCTGCGGTAAAAGTACTAGAGGTCTGGCAGGAGAAAAACCCGAGCAAAAAGTTTGGCTGTTTGCGTTCACAGCTCCTCCTGAGTTTTTCAGGAGATTTCGTATGTGTGAAAAGGGTTTTTGGCAGCTATTTGACAGCTACAAGAAATGTTAGGTTATTTTCTTTCAACTTACTGAGTGCATGAGTTGATGTCGTGAATCAATGTCAGAAAGATAAGTGAGCTTTGTGTTTGTTTTTATCGTCTCTCTTGTATGACACTTTAATGATGATTGGACCTTGGAGGCCTCAAAATAATGTCAATACATTTCAACTGGATTATGCAGATTGCAAATATTCTACAGGAGTACACCACTACATGTATTAATATTTATGTACAGAGGTAACCATGCTCAGGCCCAGTTAGGACTGGAGCAGTGTTAGTGCAGGCCAGCGGGGGACTTGGGACGGGTGACGATCGTGCTTCACCCAGGTACCAGGTACTGGGTCTAGTGTGAGTGCGATTAGTTTGAACAGACTTTGGGTGAATGAAGCACTTGAATCGACCTTAAAAAAACAAACAATAAACAAAATAACCATGGTAACCACTAGCTGACTGTTTCTGCTGAAGTGGTCCTTTCGGCGTTAAACCTACTTCTTCATTTGTTTCTACTTTCTCCTTTGTAGATTCATATGCACGGTTCTGATTACCACGACAGTCTATGCGACTTCTTCTCGCCAGATATCCTTCCTCCAGAATACGGAGGGGAGGGGCCTGGCATAGAAGAGGCATGTCAGGACTGGACCAATCACCTTTTCCAGTCAGAGGGCTCCTTCAGCAGATTGCGGCTCACCCAACAGGAGACATCTCCATAACTCCAAGTGCCCCACTGATTTCAGAGGAAGTGGACACTGACCATCTCTCTGAGTGGTGACGGATCACACATACCATGCTTTTTTTCTTTGGATCAAAACAACCTAGTGTGCTGTCGACTGACTCGTTTAAGGTCTGTAGCATGTGAGTACATTCACTGTAAGTTGTTCACGTTGCAGCGATGCTTGCTGCCTGAGTCTTTTTATTTCTCATTATTATTTTGTAGACTTTCATCCTTTCAGATGTGTCAGGGGAAGGATTCTCCACTCATTTGGAAGCAAGTTAACCTTGTAGGTACATGTAACATCCCAAGAAAAGAGAAAAGTCTTGTGGTGCCATGACCCAAACCCAACAGGAAGTCAACCATTTGAAGTAAAAATGTGTTATATGTTTGTATTTTTGGCCATTTACAGGGGACATACTTGAATTGAATCATTCCTGGCAAGTCATCCTACCAATTACAAACTTTATACAGAAAAGATGTAAGCAGTGAAAGGTTTCTTAAATAACTTCTGTCAATGGGCGCAGCCTTTAGGGGTTACCTAATCTCATAACAGGAGCTGGGCTGACTGTTATCTACTTCACTTAGTAGACTCACTTTTCTTAAGGACCTTATACAATTTTTACTTTAAAAAACCTGAGCTATTCCCTTCAATGCAGTGGCCACAAGAAATGTAATTTCTCAGCACTGCCTTAGGTTGCTACTCAAAGCTTCAGCACTCCCTTACCTGTCGGTATGTTTCCAAAGGCCCATTCAACACTGGTTTAAAAGTGAATTTAGGCCCAAACTGCGCAGCTTGAGGACCTTATTGGAACTGTTGTTTCTTTCTTTTAATTTTGTATAAAGGAATTTGCATCCTCAAGAGTCCAAAGGTGAAACAAGAATCAGTATTATGAAATTTTGTATAACTTTATAATTTATATTGGGTCTTGGGAATGTTGTGCAAAATAGCTCCTTAGAGCCCCATACAGCATATTTACAAAGTGTACCTCAGCAAGTTTCATCTAAGCGGCAACCTCTGGTGTTGAAAAGTGGCTTCAAATGTCTGCTTCAAACACCAATGGGGGGGGGGGGTGTCACTGAGACTGTCTATGGTTTATACAGTCTATAATTTATAGAGTCTATAGTTTAACCAAGATACATGAAGTTTAGTCGGCACAGAGCACTCACACTGGTCAAATGGACTGGACTTTAGGGGGAAAGCGTGCTTGGGCACAGTACTGATTGCCTAATGTGTGTTCACCTTTAGTATGCCAACGTAAACCCAAGTCAGCCATTTTTTGTGTGAGCTTTACTTGGAAAAAAAATCGTACTTATTCCGTCTCTTACAGAAATGATGCAGAATGTTGTATATTTATATGGATAATGCTACACTGTATGAATGTCATATCAAGACAGTTTGTATGTTCTTAAGTAAGACCTGAATAACTGTTAACAGATAAGGTGGACCTCCTGGGTGGATTGCCAGATGAGATACTTTCATGCGTAATAAACTGCTTGACTGTACAATACATGGACGTAGTCTCAGACACAAGCCAGGGGATGGGCTGACAGTGTGATACTACTCTACCAGTCCATACGCTCAAACTTCCTTAAAACAAATCTTTCTGTGAAATCATGTGAACTTCATCCAAGAAGAAAGCCTCTGTAAGAAAGAGCTTGCAGCCAAACAGTAGACTGTAAAATGACAAGCACAGCAAACATCACTCCATAAGGACATTCATTTTATCAGCCAATCAAATGATCCCATTGGTTTTCTTTAGCTGAGTCTGTTAACAGTTTCAAAGTTTACTTTTTTTCATTTATTGTTACAACATTAAGTCGTTAATGTTATAAAACTTGACTATGTGGACCAATAATGTACATATCCACTTTAAACAACATGCTGTAAAAATGTATGATTAAATGTTCACAATAATAAAGAAAATGTTTTAGCGAATAAATGGATTTATTTGATGCTCTTTGTCACAGTTCTGTAATGATGACTCAAATAATGAATTCTAAGATTTCATACTTTGTTTGCAATCCATTCAAAATGTTTCTTCATGAGATAATGTATTTTTAAAGTAAATCTACTTTGCTGTTAGGCAGGTGAGACAGATCCGTGCTTATTAAAGGGTTAACAATATAAAAACTCAAAATGTAAAGAAATTATGAAGTCTTTGTGCTCTCTCGATTATTAGGGTATCTACTGGAATAGAATGAATTCGGGGTGATTGGGAGACAACTTCTGAATGGATTAAGACAGGGGACAGACAGACAGACAGACAGACATGCAGACAGACAGACAGACATGCAGACATGTAGACAGACACAGACAAACAGACAGACAGACAGAATGTGTTATTGTTTATGTCTAGCTGGTTCAAATCTGTCAGAAGATTGCTGATATTGTGGGTAGATATCGTTCTGTCTTTGGGTGTTAATAGTTAATGTTTATATATCTGGGAAAGGGTCTAGATAGAGGAGCGGCGGACTGAATGTACTTCCAATGTACTGGAAGCAGCAGTGGTCTGGTATGTTATATTTTTGGGGGGATTTGGTCAGAGGTCATGAGCAAGCAATCATTGAGTAGTTGCCCAAGGCTGGTGACTCCTCTCCCACTCCACGTTGGGGAGATGAAGGATTCATTGTTAGCTGTAAGGCTTTTTTTCAGGGTGTTTGGTTCTTCGATCTCAAAGTTTCTCTCTCTGTACACTGTACGGACCTTTGATCGGCGTTAGCAGGTCAGTAAACACTTCTATCAGCCCGGCTTCACCTTGTAAACATTATCTCCCCATAAAGTCTACAAACGCTGAGGATCAATCCAAAGTGCAAGTTCAACCATTGCTTATTTTACTTGCTCATTGAATAGTTTTAATTCTATTTTGAATCTGGTGCATGGTAAAGTTCTTTTAGGTTAATTTTTGGGCTCTGATGTTTTTGTTTAGAGACAGGACAGTGGAGAGAGTCAGAGAGAATGGGGGATGACGTGCAGGAAAGGAGCAACTGCTCACATTTGAACATGGGCTGGTTGGAGAAAGAGTCTCTGAACATTGGGGGAGGCACACTAACCACCAGGCAACCAGTGCCCCCCTGCTTTGATTTATTAATGTTTGAAGTAAGATAAAATCAATCAAACACAGTATTGATGTATTGTGAGTACAGTCAGTGTGCAGAACGATGGTGCAGTTTGAAGTTTGTTAAAGGCTTGGCGATGAGCTCAGTTAGTGCATCATATCTTTTAAATACTATGACTGCAGAAATGACAACACCAATAAGAACTGAGCTGGAGCAAATGAGATGAAATATGATATCATTTTATCACCTGTTTGTTTTATTTATTCACATTTCAACTTCAATGCATTATGTTGACTCCCTGTTAGTAGACTGAGAATCATATATCATTATCAGGCCTCTGCAGAACAACTTTACTTCTCTTTAAGAAATTGTTTAAATGTTACATCTCTTGCCTTGATATAACCTTTTCCTGTTTCATATCGTAGGTAACCTTTATTGACCAGCTGGGATTATGTGTCAAGATTTTTCTGTTGATGTGTTGCAATTCAACTCGATGAAATCCTTTCTTAACAGCTTCCTGTGTTATTTCTTCATTGTGGCTGACAATCAGAAGTGACACAAACTGAGTTTCCTTTGAAGAAGGTGTGCACAAAACAATTGACACCCTTTGAACACTCACAGGTTTAGATTTGACATCATCCTCCATGCTGTGGCTATCGTCAGGAAGCAATTACAGATGCATGACTGATGGCCAGTCTCCTCGACACAGCTCTGAGGGATTTGTTTTTTCTTTTTACAGTTAAAACAGGTTTGTTCCAAAATGTTGTACAAAATTATTCAAAAACCAGAAAGTTATTTAAAAGGGTAATTTTATCGTGAGAGAACAGAAAACAACAACAACCACAAAATAAGTCAAATGCACATACGGATAAAAATGTGACACACATCAGACATCAACCCAAAATGTGCAAATTTTGTAATGATAGTAGGAAACCCAAGGGAGCCCCATCTGACAGCAGGCTACCAGGGGCTTTTGAACTTGAAACCTGAGAAATAGAATGAATTTTGTCCTTTGACAAAGTAAAAGTGCACAAAGCCCCATTTTCAAAAAAAATCTGTATTAATAGAAAATATTGTTTCAGTTGTTACAACATACAGATAAAGTGTTAAAGTGCAGTTCATAGTAGGCTCTACTTGACTTGTAAATAAAGATAACAGTGTATGTTCATGAGATGTTAATCATTACAGTCCAGGAACTAAACATTTGAGCTTTATTACTTTATACCACCACCTGCCAGGGAGAGAGAACTGCAGGCATTTATTTAATTCATCTTTTGTATCCTTACAAACCCTGAATACAATAACGAGACATGTAAAGGGAAAAGGTTTGGTATTTTGGTCTTTCCTAACTAGCAGTACCCAACTCCTTATTCGGCCAATAATAACAATAATAATAATAAAATGGAGCTATAGCAATTTTCTGCATACTTAAAGACATTTAAAGAAGGGAAAAAAACAGAACGACAAGGAGGAAAGAAATGTACCTACAAACATAAGAGACCATTCAAAAACTGAATAAAAAAAATCTATACATGTAGAGCACACAAGACAGACAACATTACAAGATACAAACTATGATTAAAATAAAGGATGCAGATGATCATTTATGACTTCATGACTGTTCAAAAACCATTCTAGTTAGATCAGTGGTGCCTGAAGGAGTGGATACACTCTCCTTGCCGCATGCGACTGAAACAATTAAGACTGCACACAACACAATTAACACCTGTAGAGCATTTATTATTTTACCATGCATCATCTAACAGGATTATGCTCAACAACTACAATAATTAAGGACTTAATTCTTACCAATGACATCTCTGTGGTGTTCTCTATAGTGATTTGAGCCTGTGAATATTCCCACTCTCACCTCCACTGTTGCTCACTCACTCACACTCTCACTCTCACTCTCACTCACACACACACACACACACACACACACACACACACACACACACACACACACACACACACACACACACACACACACACACACACACATTGCTAGAAGTGGATATACTCTATGGAGACTAAAACATAAGTCTGGATACTCCTTATACCTGCGTATACCCTGCACTACAGTGTCAGAATCTACAATGATCCGCATCGGGAAACTCCAGATATGGATCTCCTAAACGAAAAAACTCTTCGTCACAATGCTGATAAAGGTAAGAACGCCTTACAATTTCTGTGACATGCTCGTCAGTTTATTATTAGGTGAAGGGAGTGGCTTTTGAGGGAGCACAGAGGGGCGTGGCTTTTGAGGGAGCACAGATGGGAGGGGGCGTGGCTTTTGAGGGAGCACAGAGGGGCGTGGCTTTAGAGGGAGCGCAGAGGGGAGGGGCGTGGCTTTTGAGGGAGCATAGAGGGCGTGGCTTTTGGGGGCACCGAGGGGCGTGGCTTTTGAGGGAGCACAGAGGGGAGATATTGGGAGGTGGTGGAAATCCTGTCTAATGCTGGTCCCAGTTTCTGAGTTGGGAAGTTGTTCTTCCGACTTTAGTGTGTTCACGTAGTTTCAGATTCGTAAGTCGAAATGTCCCATTAGCAAAAAAACAGGGTGGATGCCACAAAGAAGAATGTGAATGTTTTAAGTTATATTTCAGAATAAAGTTGAAGTGCAATACGTGAATTAATAAAAAGTATTCTAATTTAATATTAACCGTTACATTGCAACCGCTTGTTCATCAGGTCAGCCATGTCCATAACTATGGATAACATGTATCATTCACCCCCCTACAGTGTGTGCCAGTGATGACAATAACTAATCAATCCTATGTTGTTATCTGTACCAGGCTGTACACATGTTGATTTATGCTGTAAAAACTGTTTTTGTTTTTTTTAATGTGGTGTGATTTCTGGATTTCTGTTTTTCAGCCAGCCTCTAGTGGACACTCAAGGAACTGGAGGACTGGAGGACAATTCCACATCAGCTTCATTTTTTTTTACATTAAAGGTTGCCGGTTGGTTTACAACACAGCCGGAAAATTTCTCTGATAAGGCAAATAGCCAATTTGGTCCTGGGACCTGGGGTGGCCTATTAGATTTCAATGGGGGACTATGCCACTTCTGGCCACCCCAAAGGACACACCCCTGCTTATTAACTTCTTCTAAGGACTTAATGAAAAACAAACTTTAAGATTTCTTATCTTCAAGACATCGACATGCTCTTATGGCCTGAATGATAAATCTGACAACTATCAATTCGTCAGTCTTTATTTTAATAGCCCTAATTTATTACAAATATTATCTCAAGAGCTGTTCTATCCCGTACTCTTTATTATATTATTTACAAAGACCCAGCATTGATCCACCATGGGAAAGCACTTTCCACCAATAAGCAAAGTAGCAGTGGCAAGAAAAAACTGTCTTTAACATGCAGAAATCTCAAGCAGAAACAGACTCATGTTAAACAGCCATCTGCTGTGTCGGGCTGAGAGAGTGGGACATTTGCTATTTGTCTGCCATGAGCTATATTTATCAAGGTTGAATGGACAGGGGATATTTGACATGTCAAACACATGCAAGTGATAAGAGGGTAGTGTGTTCATGGGTGGTGCAAAGAGATAACCACATGTTCTCTTACCTTGGATACAAGGCCTTATAGTTTATGAAACTTTTCAACAACCACATGTGTGGGGAACAACCACATTCCCTTTTTTAACTGCACCCACGACCACAGCAACAATGTGACAACTGTTAATTAGACAGATTTAAAGCTACTGTTAACTGTTTTAGACCTTGAATCCATATCAGAAGTCCACTTTGTCTGCTTTAGACAACAACTGAAGAGTCCAAATCTGCCCACACTAGTTCATGCAATTTAAGTCATGTGGGCAGAAACATTTGTAATGTGATGGATATCTTTGACAACAGTTATCTGTGATTAAACAAAATGA